TGGAAATTAAATTCCGGAATTCCCGTGATTCACGGAAGAGAGACTCACAGTGATCCTTCGAAGAAGCCCTCTTGCAAATCGCTCATCTCTATAGCATTATGGAAATCGTCCGTCCCTTGAAACGTTCCGCTTCCTACGCTCAATATTACAATTATACGACGTGATCGTCATAACTATGTGCGAAATACCATGGTATTAGAAAACGTAAAGGAAAATATGTTTCGCAGCAATCTCCTCCGAGTTGTCTTGTTTCTACATTAAATAATAAATATCATGTTGTCAGTATATCGTGTAATTTTCATCGATCTTGTCGCGATTCCTTGCTATAAATTACTCCGTGTCATTTCTAGAGCTTAACGAACATAAGTGAGGAATGATCGAATACTATTCACGCTGCGAAACCCGCACAATCGCCATAAGCGACAAGTCCTTAAGCTGACTTTATACTATGGGCGTGGAGTCATGAGTATGAGCGCACTAGCTGCACCCCATAAACATACCGACGTTATTCCACGCCGTCGCTTCCAGACAAAAATTCTGAAACACGAGACCGACGGAACCTCTACCATGCTACTACCTTTCTACTGACTAGGTGCATCCCTTAGGAAACGCATTCTCATCCGATTATTGATGTTGAGTGCACGCAAGAAGAAACATGAAACTGGCAATAAAACGTTCAATTCGATTAAGAAACAAACAGTGCAAATGTTAATAACTTTCTGATTATTTCTGAAAATACGATATTTGGATTAAAAATTATTTAAAAAAATTTTAAAGACATTCACAGTAGTGAGGCAGAAGCAAATTAAAAATTTATGTAATTATGATGCGATTGAGAGATATAACTACTGATAAATTGCTTGATATTCTGTTTACTGCTTTCATTACACGGAAAATATTCGAGATTGGCTGCGTTCAGCAGAGAAAGCAGCTTTGCAACTGTTATAAAATTCTTCAATATATGATTGATTTGTACATTTAGATCCGTAAGGAATCAAAAGTAAGAACCAATTGAATTGAACAATTTTACAATAGTTGCAAAGCTGCTTTCTCTGCTGAACGCAGGCAATATCGAATATTTTCCGTGCAATGAAAGCAGTAAATAGTACAGAATATCAAGCAATTCCGCAAGAGTGCGTTTCTCGCAGAACATTCTACGTACGGCACTAAGACATGAAATTTATGACCACGATCCCTCGACCAGGCCATCCGTCAGAGACGATCGCGAATCTCAATCCTCATGTACTTGACGGACCTCGTCTCGGAGAAAGACGGAGAACGTCCTGTGGATGCAGCTCGTATTACATAGGGTCAAAGAGATCCGCGCACTTTATCAAGACAGAAAAAAATCTCACACAATACTTGGGCGCAATTTGTCGTATACGGATTCGTATCCCGTTTCACAGAGCTTTAATGAAGCATTTAGAATGGTCTCAATAGGAACATCGATATCTTCAATCAAACAAATTCAATCTTTTCAATCAAACAAATTGAATCTTTTCAATTAAGCTAATTCAATATTTCCAATCAAACTAATTCAATTTTCATTTGTGTTGGAATTTTTCTACGGAACTTTCAAGATATGATGAACACAAAAGTAACAATTGATCGACGGCTGACATAATCATTTGTCAGAAATATATCGCCTCCGGCCTTTTCCGCTACTTTGAAAGACACCGCGAGAAACGACTGTCGTAATCCTACCTTCTTAATGACATCGCGAGAAACGATTGTCGTAATTATTATGCCCTTGTACTACCCTACATAGCGAAAGGGCATTAATTGAGCGGCTCGTAATGTCGTGATTACGCGCAACTATGGAATCAAATAAATAAAATCTTAACTGTGATTGATTGTCCAACACCGTTAATCAGGCACACAATCGTAATGTGTCGTTCCGCTCGCTCATTGTCATCGATCTCGGTGATTGAGTATCATTAAGTACTACGACCTATTTAAAGGAATTTTATTTTTGTCGCGTTAATACATAGCCGATATAGAGACGTCTAACGCAACAAGATTAATGTCGGTTTCTACCAATATAGATTAACTTCAATCTCAATTTAATTTACTCTTCATCTATTTCTAACATTAAGAATGAGAAAAAAATGAAGATTAAATTGAACCAAAATTGAAGTTATATCAGTAGAAACAGACATTAATCTTTAAATCCCATATGTGAAATTCATAAAGATCACCAGAAGGTATTTTTACAAGACAAAAATTCGAAAATAATCTAAATCTGGATAGCGATTATTAACTTTTTCGCTAGAGCGGAAACGTGGAAAGTGAAAATTTTTATGTATGTATGTTCGTACATATAGACACATACATACAAAGAATTTTCACTTTTCACGTTTCCGCCCTAGAGAAAAAGTTAATGATTTCTATCCTGATCGAATACTGTTCGATGAAATCAAGAAAAAACAAATGATTTACAGACATAAACATGAATGTTCGAACATGGCAAGAATTTGATTCAATTCGCTGTTCGTTCGATGTTCGTTTACTAATTGTAAGTTTACCTTTAAAAGAGCTGCTTCTCTTTTCATCACTTAAGCTAACTACATTACGTTCATGTCACCATTTTCAAGTGATCATATATTTTCCATTCATCATAACATCACATTTTCTAATTAGTAAATGTAAAGTCTCTACTCACTACCATGTATATCATTTTTCATTTTTCGTAATTGTAATTTGATCAAATGTATACCTACTTTATTTCGTGTACTAACTAATTATAATAAGATCTAAAATCGTGAATAGCAGTATTGCTGATGTCTTATCTTTTAGGGTGCTTTAATTTATACCGTCTTCATAATTATAAATTTATGAATTTATATATCTTGCACGGCAATAAAGATTATTATTATTAATATTATTATTGCTACTATTATCACTATTATTGTTATTATTATACTCACAATATAAAGAAGCTTTTCAATGCACCCATTCTGCAGCATGTCGCAGAATACGCTTTAATTTTAAAACGCGTAGTACTATACACGGTCAATTTTTCTTTCATGTAATACACAGTGGATCCCAAACTTTCACAATGTGCATCAATTAACCCGTTGCCAACGGAAATGCGGAAATGGTGTAATTACGCAACGTGTTACTTGCGATGTGACGTGTGTCACAGAAAATTTCTCTTATACAATTTTCTATTTTCTAACTTTCAATTAACCGCTTTCCATCAATCGAATTCTTATTCCTTCAGCTTAAACGAATTAACAATTTAACGAGAAGGAAGAAGATCGATTGCCAACCTCGTCTATCTGTCTGTGAAAGAAGTAGTAAAAAAGACGATAATAGATGTCTATTAGAAGCACGAGAGAATTAAATTCACTGATATATATTTATAAGACGTTTCCCAGGAAACGTGGATAATATTTTACGACAGGCAAGAAATTCTTAAATGAGATTAAAAAATTATAATTATTGTGTATAAAACTTGCATATGCCTGCTTAAAAGAATTGCGGTTTTGTTCAAGTATCTAAAAATTCAGTTAGATACAAATTTAAAAATAATCTTGTTTTGAGCATTAAAATAATTATGTAGGACGCTCAAATTGGTTACTAGTTAGAACTTTTTATACAGCATTGTCATCAACGCTTCGTGTTCTACATAATTATTTTTATGGTCCAATAAAATTATTTTTGTATCTGTATCTAACTAGATTTTTAGATACTTTAGCAAAACTGTTTTTTCCGAAATAGAAACTGCTGCCGGGTGTTCGATGTCATATCGAGTGGTTGCGCGCCTATTTATATCGAACATCAATTCCACGTCAATTGTGGGACAACGACCGATCGGATCGCGTCAAATATGAGCGGAAATCGCTACGTGCGAGCAGTGATGCAGGGCAATTAGAACCCATTAAAAGCAGGCTAAATGCGGCCCGACGATACGGACAGCTTCTGTGCCGGCAGCGTGTCAGTCGGTAAAATGTCCAGTTTGTTGTACGGCAGAGAGCACAAAAGCGAGCTGGGTTAATTGAACCCAATTAGAACCGGGTCGGTCGTGTACGAGCCGATAGTCTAGTTTTTAAGCATAATGTTATGCAGCCTCATAGTCTCGTTGCTATCGTCAGCCTGACGCGACGTCGCCGCTGTGACGAGAATGCTCATCCGTTATGTCAAAAGTAAAGATTCACTTGCACATTTACAATCGATGTCGATCCGGTTATAGGTTTCGGTAAAAATGCAAAAGGGCGATATAAAGTCTCGAAAATTACCATCATTTTTTTTAAGAGAAAAATTCGAGGAAAAATCCCCAAATTGGCTTAAGGGAACTATGATTCTCGTTTTAAGGCTTATTCTCATTTTCAGTTTTCATTCTTATTTCGGTTAGATTAAAACTGCGCGAGATATCGTGCAACCAATGAGTCAATATTTTTTTAACTTGCCCATATTGATTTACAAATAATTGATGAAACACAAAATCTTTTACGTTTGAAAAAAAATTATAAAGAATTATATATCAAAGAATAAAAATGTATGAAGTTTCCAATTTATATTTTTTTCAAAAAAAATTCTTGAAAAAGGATACTGAAAGGAGGAAAGATATTAAACTCCTGAAAAAGAATACTGAAAGCAAGAGAGAAAAGATATTCCCTTGTAAAGAGCTTTATGCGAAAGTAAGGCCAACAATATTCCGTGATACCGTATATAGTTATAACAAAAAGATGAAGTTAGATTAGTTTCCTGTATACCGTGTAATATTATTTACGAAATTGCTTACGTGTATCATCTACAGGCTTAACGTGACGATATTTACTCCTGGCTATATTGCGAAACCACCGTGTAACCATTTTCCGCACTGCGGCGTAAGTAAATATTTAGCGAATAAACGACGGTATACGAGAACCAACCGGCGAGTTTCTCGGACGTGCTTTTCGACTCTCGCGTACAATATATCGTTTACCGACATTAATTATACGTATCGCGCATGCGATGCTAACGTTCTCACAATGTTATTCCTGATTTTATTGCAGACCACAAGCGTGGGTGGTGCCAGCGTAGTGGAGAAGCTATCGTTCTACAATCACACGGAATGCGAATGCAGAGAGAGGTCCGAGTATGATACGACAAACGAGAAACCCGCAGACCAGAGAGTCTATCGACATCAATCCTCGTCGCCCCCTCAAAACATGAAAAAACCGCCAACGAGAAAACCGTAAGTTTGCGAAATGGTATATCTTTTAAGTTCCGCAACGATATAGAAAATAAAAAATTGAAATTACTTTGTCCTATTCATTTGCATTGTATTCGTACACATTAAATTTATATGAAAATGTACCCAATTTGAGTTATTTTTAATCATTTCTATAGGTCGCCATTGCTCCTATATTCAATATGTCGTTAATTTAAGTAAAACAATAGAATTAAACAATTTAATTCCAGAAAATGTATTAAATTTGACTCAAATTTAGTTTATTATTTATTAAGTGCGTACATTAATGTGAACGTTGCTTACATTGAAACTAACCACACAAATGCACTGTTAAATTCATAATGTCAAATTATACCCAATTCATATTTAATCATTTCTGTAGGTCGCAATTTTGTTCCTATTCAATATATTTTTAATTAAAAAATGAAGTTAAATAATTTAACTCAAGAAAATGTATCAAATTCAACTCAAATTTAGTTTATTATTTACTAAATGCATATGTTAATATAAACATTGTTTTTGAAACTAACACCAGAAATGGACTGATTTACATTTTAACATATATGAATATAATAAAATATTATTTTAACTCAAAGAATAACTATTTCCATCCAGCAAAAATATCCCGTATATATTATACAGATATCTTACAGACATTACGATATCTTTGATGAGCTGTTCCTGCGATACTCTGCTGTATGGGTTGCTTCTTTGATATCTAACAGTGTGCATTGTTCTACATTTTGACACTCCTTAAAAATAACAAAATATTATTTTAACTCAAAGGATTATCATTGTTTCTTCAATGTCTAACAGTGTAGCTTAATGTAATGACATTTCTAAACAGAGGAATGCTTCAGAAAGTTTCTCATTAGCCTATAACTGTTGCTAAACATTTAACTTAATTAATCTTGTAATTGTTAAAAAATTTACTCCAGATGTCGTTGTCCATCGGAATTCACGCCGAGAATTACAGAAGGCGTTTGTCAATGTAACTGCTTCGAGAGCAACGAAAATTGTATAAAGACCAGACGCGGGAAGGGATATTTCTCCCTCGCGGACAGAATGTGAGTATGCCTACGCGTTCTTTGCGACTATAATTTCACGACATACTTCGCCGCAGAAGTATTTCAGTACGCGGGCACGAGCTTAAAAGTGCGACAGTTAAAACACTGCAGCACCTACATACTAATTACCGCGGCATTTACAAGACAAAATAATGCGAACTCCGTTTGTATGCCGTACCGTAAAATTTCACCATAACCGCGCTTTGTGGAACTTTCAAATCCAATTTAGTTCCAACTGTACATTGTCAAACATTTACATATAATGAATACTTGCTAGTGACCTCTTTTTATTCCAAAAATATTGCTAAATAAAAACTCGTTTCTCAAATAAGAGCAAGAATTTAATTTTGTGTATGAGAAGGTATTTTGATATTCGTAGAACGATATTTTTAAAAAATGTGCACATGGAAAGAATGGTTTTGCTGTACTAAAAATATCTAAAAGTTTAATTAGGTTTAATATCTAAAAATAATGTTGATAGACCACCAAAATAACTATGTAGGACGCTCAAGCTGGTTGCTAGAATGTCAAAAACTTTTTGCAGCGTTGCTCACTATGCTTGTGTTGAGCATTCTATTTAATTATTTTGATGGTCCAACAAAATTATTTTCAGATCTGTATCATTGAAAAAAATGGTCTTGCAGTTATAGCGAAAAATTAGCTACATGGATAAATGACAAGCAAATGACTGCGATATTGCATATATTTTGTATCTAATCAATATAGATAACACACAGAGACAGAATTTATATTTAAATCATTTGTCAAATTTATCAAGAAAGTCTTTCTGTAACGTTCAATCAGATGACTGTGATTGTAATTCATATTTAGCAGTGATTCATATTTGATTATGAGACCTAAATTTTATTGCATATATTGTTAGAAGTGTTATAAATTCTACGTATGCTACACAATTTTCTATCAGATACAAAAAACAGCGATGATTCCAGCTGGAGTAGCAAAATATTTCTTCGCACGATCTGGCTAAATTTTTAACATACTTGAGCAAAATCGTTCTTTCCGTACAAAAACGACCAGACTCGACCTACGGTATCATATAAAACTTTTTGACTCATAGATGCATTCAGAAGAACGAATGCGCGATGCCCAACTGCGAGTTCGGCGAGTACATAAAGTGGCAAGGCAAGTGTCCGCGGAAAAGGGACACTTTCGACGCAATGACGAGCTATCGTGCGAATCTGAGTCATCGATTCAGAAGTTAGACGGCAGCGGATAGCGAAGAGGACGAAGATGATCGCATTGAAATGCGATCCTAGTGCCAATGAAGATGGAGAGATAGCACATGACGAAGTGCACGAGAAACCGACGGTGCCATTTTCTTTCATTTTTTTTTAAGTGCCTTCGTCAGAGAGACTCGCAACATGTAGGTACATGTATTCGTACATTATGTATAAAAATGTACGTCATCAGTCGTTGTCTAGGCACGCGTATGTATCGTCGTCGCTTCTTTTTTTTTTCTTTCTTGCCGCGATCGGCGGGGATACGAAGTGATAATGGTCGTCGATTTTCGGTACCGGTGATTGTCTCGCGGGGACAGTAAAATAGTATTTCGATGTTTAATTGATGAATTATATAATTTTGTAGTGCTCGATGTTCACAAGCGGTTCTCCATCACGAGAGAAAATAAGTTGATATACAATTATAAGATTTCGAGTCGTTAAGATAAGAAGATAACATTCTATATAACTGAAGCGATTTCTCTAGGATAAGAACGATATATGCTTAAATTAATGATAGCACAAAAAAATTACCAGCGACGAGATGAAGTGCTTCTAGTAGTAATTTTCGAGGAAGAAAGTGACTGCTTTTTGAGCAGGAATTTCATCGGTGAGAGGAACTCGCCGAGGGAAATGGCGATCCGCCAAAATTATACATGTAGATCTGAGAGGGTGCGATAACATCTCTTAAGTTAATGGTAACTTTATGCGATAAGCGATATCTCGGGTATCATAGTTTACGCTGAGAAGAAGACCTCGGACGCGAGCCTAGTCTGAGATCCTGTTTCCGTTCTGCACGAGGAAACTCTCTCGGTTCGTTGGATCACGCATGCGGACGGCCGAATTTGTCGAGCCTGAATCCCTCCCAGTGTCCCCTAATTTCCACTTCTTCAATTAGAATATGCGAAATGTAATTATATAATGATATTCCAATTATAATGTGCTTATTATAATAGCTTTATCCGAAATTCACACGATAGTGATACGCGACGAGTAGGAAATACCAAAGCACGCAAAAACACGCGTACGAGCGGTCGCGCAGAATCGAAACAGATCGTTAATGTAGCCACATTTTGTATGTTACACGATTACAGAATATCTCTATTGTATTTAATCGAACATTGATGTACCCCACGTTCGTTAATTTAATATTTAATCAATAGACAGAGAGAGAAAGAGAGAAAGAGAGGACTGGCCCGCCCGACTGGCCTCTGTTCATGCACTTCTATGTAGGTGATGTAACATGAAGGTAATAGCTGTGTTCAGCAGAGAAAACTGATCTCAGTGAGACTTAATCATTCTTTAATGTGATTGGTTTCTACCCTTAGATCCAACAAAGAACTAAAAGTAAGAATCAATCATGTTCAAAATCAAAGAATCATTGAACATTCATTGATCAGTTTTTTCTGCTGAACGCAGCCAATCCCATCCTAACGCTGCGAATGGGCAGCTACACGTTTGTAACTTTGTATTTTCTATGTTATCAATAAAACAGCAAAATCACAAAGAACCACGGTAGACCAATTGTATGCGTCCGGAATGTAAATGCGAACTTGGACGATGCGACTGTCTGCGAGAAGGTAGCCGTATTGTATTGTTAATACCGCCGCTTCTTTACTACGTGATTATAATATAATCTGAGAATATAAAATATAATAATGTATGATTTTATTTTGTATCTCATTTTCCTTTTTCCATTCTCAATGCTCGAAAAGTTGTCTCCTAATATAATATTTCTTAATATATTTTTTTAAGATATATCGAAGATATATTAAAATATATTACATTAAAGATAAATTAATGTTTCTAGTATATTAATTTATCTCTCTTTAATATATCTTTAATATATCTTAAAACAGTTTACAAGCTTCTAAACTTATTTACGAAATACCACCGTTATTTCGACGCCTTTTTATGAACGCAACTCTATTCTATATTTAATAAAAAAAATCGAATAACTATTGTTTGCACACAGAAAAGTAACGCGTTTCGTTTTTTTTTCCAATAAAAAAATTGTTTAAAATCGCTGGAAGAAGCGGGAAGCGCATATCTGCCTCGTGTTATTTTTCTACCTAAATGGGAAAGCATTTTTATCAACCGCCTTGCACGCGTATCTACATGCATTTTTCATTTATATTTACTTATGCATATTATATAAATATATATTATATTGTGTATATATTATATTAAATATCTATAATTATAGATATAATAATAGAGCAAAATATGTTAGACTGATTATGTTAAATATATGATTCCGTTTTACGTTTAAATTACAAATATCAATTTCTGCTTCAAAATTTATATAATTATAAATATAATAAATATTTGAGCGTAAATCGCTCCTTACGATTGTGAGAGAATTATAGAAAATTATGGAAGTTATGGTTTACGAATTCGCAGTTCTAAGGATCATCTAATGAAATGAGAGAACGAGAATCAATTTCATACCTATCGATGATTCAACACAAGACTTGAAATTTCGCTCCTGTACATACAAGTTTTCCGCATTTATCTTGATTATGCAAATTGTGGCCATAAGTGCATACTAGATGAAAACAAAGTAGAAGAATTATGGGTTGCCACCTTTGGACTAATTCTTCTGGAGGTCGACAACCCTCTTACTGAAGATCACAGTATTCTGCCAAAATTGACGAAATTTTTATCTTCTCTCTAAAAGAATAAAAAAAGGTTACGAGATGTGGTCTTCCTGCCGGAGATTACTACTTTGCCAAAGATCGCTTGCTATTATCGACATTAAGACAGGAGCACAGATTCTTGCATAACACATAAGAGGCTTTCTATAATAAGCTATTACCGAAACTTTAAGTTCTAAGCCATACAAAATCGACCAATCACAGTCAAATATGAGAAGAATAATCGACTATGATTGATTAATTTCTTACAGCTCACGATTTGAAATTTAAGTAACGACTTATTGTAGAAAGCCTATAAAGTGGCGCCTACAATGAGATTTTAAGGCGTAAAACTTAAGCTTTAAGCCTAAAAAAAGCTGTTAAAGAAATTGATCAATCATAGTCAACTATCCTCCTCACATTCTACTGTGATTGTCATTTTTTTACGGCTTAAAGCTTAGGTAATGGCTTATAGTAGAAAGTCCATAAGGCCCGGTTGCACCAACTTACTACTTACTTTGACTTTAAAACTCTCTGTCTCGTTTTAAAGCAAACTCTCTAAAAGTAAATCAGTGTATTATTACTTCAGTACTATATTTATAACTGTAATCATTAGCGAATGTTTACTGTGTTTTTCGGTCATAATACACTAATTCATTCTTAGAAGTATGGTTTCTACAAATTGAATCTGTAGAAAATTATAACTATTAAAAGTGAATCAGTGTATTATTACTGAAAAAATAGTAAATATTCATTGATGATTACATCAATTATAAGTGTAGCACTGATGGGCAATAATAATACATTGATTTACTTTTAGAAAAAAAAAGAGAAACAAAAAAAATTTTAAGCCTTGCTTGAAGTCAAAGTAACGTTGGTGCAATCGGGTCTTAAAAAAATCAACGAATCAGTTTTTTATTTCAGAAAGAAAGGAAATGAAGGAATTTTTCTTATGAATTTTCTTATGCATTACGCATTGTACGTTATGTAACTCTGTGCTTCCGCCATTTTGTAGTGTTTTCTCTCTCTCTACTAAAAAGAAAGAGAAAAGGGAGAGTTGAGAGAGAGAGAGAGAGAGAGAGAGAGAGAGAGAGAGAGAGAGATGGAGGGGGGGGGGACCGAAACCGGAGGAAATGGATTCGCATATTTAAAAAAAGACCATCTAAATTTTAAACGATTAGCCAGAGATTTTTTCCATTAGCCGGAAAGCTAAAGATTCGTACAATTGTAAAAAAAACCGGAGTGCCGGAGATTCGCACAAGTCATTCTCCGATTGAAAATGATGGCGGCCATAATGGCAAGGCACTCACCAACCGTAGGAAGAACGTAAATCAACGTATATATCGTGTATATCACGTGGAATGTAGGTAGAAGCAGATAACAACGATAAATGTTCCATTAAGTGCGAAATCATGTCAGTGTCCGCGGTTAACCCATTCTAAAAATCCGGATCGATCGGCGATCTATATATACTTACATACGTTCAAATGCATACGAATGTTGAGCAATTTTATACCTAGATTTAATTGAGGAAAGGACTGGAGATACCTTAAGTCAAAATGTGTCGCCAAACCTGCAGGAGGATCCGGAGGGAACAGGACAGAAGGAATCGCGACAAAAACGTACATTCGCAACCGTATACTCGCAAAACTTGCCGCGAATTACGTCTAACCGGTCTAGTCTCTAACGGTGAGTGACGACAATGGCGGGTAATGACTGCCGTTTGAAATCGAGACAGCCAGCAGGATTGGTGGCGCCATCTGACGAGGAGAAAGTAGAGCTTACGCAACTCAGTCGGTACGATCGGTTACATATATGTAGATAATGCAGATAGAAACTTGAGAGCGATCATTCGGCTTTTTTCAGAACCGACTGACTATTATCGGCTGACGTAAATTTGTGTACATTACATGTTTCCGAGATTCGCCAGCAGATGACGAGAGCTGCTGGCGAAATGTCAAAAGCGTCTTTCTAACCTCAAACGTCTAGTGCGTTTTCAGCGATTGTTCGAAACTCATCAAGAAAGGCCATTAGGACAAAGTCAGAATTATTTAAAACTGTATTAAAAAATTAGGAAAAATAATTTAAGAATTATAACATATAACATATTCAGAGTTTTAACATTTGGGTATCATGTAATCTCAAGGAAAAGTTGAAGACATAAAATCATCAACCGGTGGAAGTACTTCAAAAATCCTCTCAAGTGCATTCTTGCAGTCTAAAATTGCAAGAATCTTCTGTCAATTGAATGTCGCGAGATGCAACATAATTATGACATTTTGTACAAGTATGAGATTTTGTAAATTCTAATCCGCTTTCACGTTGACACTGTCGATGAAAGAGGAACACACATTGAAAAGAACAATGGAGAGTACTCAGTCGCTGTACATCAGCCTCTTCAGCGAGGAAAAGAGCGATGTCTTAAAGGAGGTTTGTGATACAATAATGTGTGTCCTTATTTTTGTTTGATATCGTGTAACAATTTCATTTTGTATTAAGCTGTTGCATGCATGCGTTGATGAGATCTGTGGTCGCCCAGGACCATCATATCGCAAATTCGCCAACAGCATGGATTGGAGTAGAGCGGAGTACGAAGGAGTTTACAAACTGATATCGTCATTATTACGAAATCCTGCATCTCTCTATATAATAGAGGAAAAGGTATATCTGCTGAGAAATTGGTTGTCATGTCAATTAAACTAAGGATGCTTTCCATTTGATGACACAAAGTTGATATAAGTGTCGTTTTATTTTTGTTGTACTGAATGCCAAGAGAGATAGAATGTTTATGTCGACTTGTAAGATTAACTTTAATCTCAGTCCAATTCACTTTTTATCTTTTTTTACTTCTGAGAATTAGAAAAAGATAAACAGTAAGTTAAACGAGATTAAAGTTTATTTTACATTGATGGAACCAGGTCTAAAGAGAGAGAAACAGTCAACATGGTGCTACAAATGCTTTGAAACATTCTTTGATTGGTCAATTAATAAAATTCTTTTGTCTGATTAGTCAATCAAATGCTTCAAAGCATTTGTAGTGAGACTTTGACCTTAACATTGACAAACAAGCATATGATTACTCTATTATACTGAGTCATGTGTGGCTATTTTCTTTTCAGGCGTGTCAATCAACACAAGTATCTTGGCATTTATTGAATAACAAAGATCGAACGACACGTGTCAATTGTATCTCCTAAAAAAAATAGCCTGTGTCTCTTGCTGGAAAATATCTTTTGCCTTTGTGTTGTGTATCGTATGTCATATTTACTTGGAGTATAAAGGAGCTCAAATATGGAATAATTTATTTTAATCATATTGTAAATCTACTATAATTCTATATTTGAACTCCTTTGTACTCCAAATAAACTTTATTGGTAAATAAATAATAAATAACAAGAAGAGGTACAAGCCAGATTTTTATGTATTTCAAATTCTTAGAATATACGTTTCGACTTTATTATTAGGTTATCCTCAGTGTAAAGAAATTAAATGCAAATTTGACAAAATTAATAAAACGGTTAAAATTATACAATTTATAGTTACGCAAAAAGTTGGTATAGTATTTATTCTATTTATCTTCCGCACAATGCAATGCTTTTCGTTCTGGTGATATTCTTCGGTTATATTCTTCCATTATAACAATCGCAATAAGTCCATAATGATAAAAATATTGAAAATGATAAGTCATTAAATAAAAATATATCAGCACACATTCTGTTATCAAATTAATAAAATAGATTATAAAAATTAAAATAATGCTTCTTGCGAATTAAATTAACTCATTGTTTCAATTATTGATTATATCCTGGTTTACCAATCGCAGTTGAGGTATATGTGTATAATAATTTTATTTATTAACACACACTTTAATATAGTTGTCTATTAAAATAAGGATCGTATATACTAATAATTTTGAATATAACGATCATTTATTCATTATTTTAATTTTTATAATCTATTTTATTAATTTGATAACAGAATGTGTGCTGGTACATTTTTATTTAACTCATGTTCAATATTTTTATCATTATGGACTTATTGCGACTGTATAATGGAAGAATATAACGGGTAATATTACCAGAACGAAAAGCATTGCATTGTGCGGAAGATAGATAGAATAAATACTACCAACTTTTTGCATAACTATAAATTGTATAATTTTAACCGTTTTATTAATTTTGTCAAATTTGCATTTAATTTCTTTACACTGAGGATGTCCTAACAATAAGGTCGAAACGTATCTTCTAAGAATTTGAAATACATAAAAATCGGGCTTGTAGTCCCTTCTTGTTATTGTTAATTGTTTATTATTATTGAGCTATTAAAAGACTATTTTTATTGGAAAATGTTTTCCAGATGCCACAAGAATACCATGAGTTACCCGAGCAAGTGCAACAGAACATTCTTACTTGCTTGAAAGTACGCAGGGAACAACTGACTGACGCTTTATTGAGGGAACATTACAAAAGAAAATTGCCAACCGTGATTGATCACGATTGGAGATTGAAGGTATCATGCTTGTTGATAATCATTCTATCTGCTTATAATGGCTTATATTCTTGGCTTATGTCATTACATTTCTTTACAGTTGGTAATGGGTTCGAGCAAGATGGCCTCGTTAAGAGAATCTCTACTTCAGTTAGATCTCATAATAGAAGATAAGGAATCTCGGCATATCATAAATTTGGAACTGAATAAAGATGAGTTAGATACGATAATAAACAGTTTAGAAAAGCTAGTATAAGTTTTGATATTTTTACAAAGAAAAAGAAATGTGTATATAATTCTTATATATGTATTAAAATATGTACCAATTATAAGTTGTGCAGGACACAGGTTTCATAATGATGATGAAATAAATACTCGCTGCTGTTTACACTTTGTTTCACAGTTTATTATAGGTTATAGATAAATGTAGAATAGTTTAGTTACTATTATAATTGCTGATCGAAGATACTGGAGACTGTATTTTCGCATCTGAGGCGGTCTCGATTCAAAGATCTCATTCACAATTTTGTAGTCTCCGGCGCAAAATAAATAAACGAGCGAGGTTTGCCTCGACGGCGCCTCAGAATGATAACAATCACTAGAGAAATGGTATAGGTGCACGGATATTATCAGTCTCGATTCGCTCGTGAAGAATTTCGATAAAAAGTTCGCTCTCGTCGCCAAAACGTGTCGTCCTATTAAGAAGACAATGAATCTTTTTTTTTTTCTTTTCGTTGTAAAGATCATTTTTACGGACAGATATATTTAATGAATGGTTTTACTATACAACTTTTAACTTTACTTCTTTCCCGCCCTTATACGTAAATATGTATGTAACCGCTTAAAAATTAATGCCAGACACGAGTGAAGACTCGATCCTTTACCTCTTTATCGCTCGGCGATATTACCGGATATCGAAGCGTCTCACACGTGTATAATTCGCTTCTCGTTTACAACTTTATGATCTATGCTACGCGATCTTAATAAAAAAAGCTTCTCGTAAGATAATTACTCTTTTACTTCTGGAGATCCGTATAAACGTAGAAACGTAGAAACATCCGTATGAAAACTTGACAAAGGTTTGGAGGTCCGTTCCGGAGTGGTAAATTGTGCATGTCTCGTAAATTGTAATTAGGCGATACTTTTTAATGATTATCATAAAAATTACGATAGGCTTCGTCATAAGTGTTCTCTCTCGTATGGAGAAGTAGCAATGTTTCGAACAAACGCCGAATTTACACAAACGCATTCTCTCTATAGTCTAGATTAATATATCACTTACATCTCGTTTTTTTTTTCGACTTACTGTATATACTTTATCTCGTATATTCCATGGTACGTACGTATACGCGGTGTAAATGTCCCTCATTGCATGTGTTGGTGTATAATGTGTTTTCTTCGTGTTCTCGCAGCGCCTTTGTGCCCGCGCCTATCAAAATTATGTTAAAAATGTGCAGTTCCTCGTTACAACGTAAAACGTCTCGATTGTACCGATGTAAACGGAAAAAGGAAAACCAAGGACCGCGAAGGAAATACGAGCGAAACAATGTGCCGGGTGCCCTCGAAGTCGCCGATGTGAGTGCGAAACTTTGTCGCGTGTTCCTAAATCTTCTTCCGCTTCCTTCTTCCACTTTTCTCGCTCGCGTATTTCCATCTTTTTCCTGTTCTCATCGTGGCGAAGATGCATCTCTCTCGTTTCGCGCGCTATCATTCTCTTTCCCCTTTCACACCGTCAATCGCTATATCACACACAGCCTGCCCTCTCGATTTCCTCCTCTATATTTCGGCTTTCTTTCTCTCTCTCTCTCTCTTTCTCACATTCTCTTTCATGCTCTCTCTTTCTTTCTGTCACTTTCATTCTCGTTCACACTCTTTCGCTCTCTCATAGAGTACAATAGTTATGTAATTACGGGAGGGCGCCATCCAATGAGTATTTCCTCTGGAATGCGCGACGAACGATCCTATCGTCTTGACGATCTTAATCGCTTTTATCGCTTGTCCGTCGCGCGATGTTCGAGCATTAGACTTTACTTCAGTAACAGTTAATGATACTTTAAAAATTTCTACACAGCAGGGACGATCGTTGTAACTCGCGGCTAGAGACAAGCTGAAAGCTTAATTTCGGCGCCTTAAAGGCCTTTCCGCGCGCCACAAGGAATGAAACGAGCATCATTTAATCTGTGAAAGAGAGACCGTGCACGTAACGTTATGTGTGCTCCTCCAGAATACGTTTCACGTAATGTATGACCTCATGAACGTAATAATAGTTCTTGAATAAACTATCATAAACTTTCATGCACGTATTCTCGTTTGCCCTGCCGTTAAACATCATCTAATAATTAATAGGCCTACTATAGAGTCTATATGCTCTCGCGATGCCGCGGTCGTCGTTATCATCGTCATTGTCGTCGTCGCCCCGTTTTCCCCTTTTGCTGCTCGTAACGAAAGAACGTTATTTTCTGTTGCAGGAATGGTCCAAATATACATATCTATATAATATACTTTTTTGGTTTTAACGAGAGAAAAGAACTTTCTTCTTTCCAAAATACAATTCGATTAGTGGCGCTTATTCGTTTATGTTGTTTTGGTGGTGCGCGTCAGCGATGATTTCCTGAAAAAGAAAAAAAGATTAATGAATTGTCTATTTAAGTGCGAATCGATGTTGCGAAAGTTTTATGCGAGAAAAAAAGGGATACTTACATTCGTGTTGCATTCGATAGCTTCGTTCACTGCCGCCGCGACTGCTTTATCACTTATGTCGATCTCCTCGATGGCCTTTAGAGAGAAAGAGAACAAAAGCATTAATGACGTTTATGACTGCTTAGTCACTGTAAAAAGGTGCGATCGCAGTATTAATGATCAGATGGCCCCTCGCTCATTAATCTTCCTCGGTCAGTATACTTGATAATGACCTTCAGACTCATTTACGCTCATCGAACGTAAATGATCTCTTGGCGATCATCATGCATATATAAAAATCATATCAAAATTATATTAAGTAACTCATTACTTAAACTGTCTAATCAATTTTCATCTGATAATTATCAGAGATATATTATTACATGTCAAGATATATTATTACATCTTCATTGTTTTATTAATTATCGACAAAATATTAATGGTTATTGAACTGAGAATTTGTTAATACAGAGATTTTTTTTTAGATAAAGATTCTACTACTGTATTTTAACTCTTCATAATGTATAATTTAACAATAATATTCTCATTTCATTGCCATCATCCTTCAACTTCCTCATTAAAGTACTTCATATACGTACATAAGTAAAATGTCCAGTCACAAAGCAAATAAATGATAAAGAGAGTTGTTGAGACTCTCCTCGAAACGGTCGATCGATACTATCCCGCGCATCATCGACAATGACTCACTCCAGGCTAATAATAGCACGGACGTAGTGTACGTGATTATAATCTTCAGACTATGGCTAGACTGAGAATTATATATATATATGTCTATATATATACATATATGTATGTATGTATACCTTGGTGACCGAGGCGACGTCCTCAGTGATAGCCGGTGCTGTTGGCGGGGAGGCGGGTGCTTCGGTCGGGACAGCCGGTGGTGCAACTTTGGGAGCCTCATCGACACTCTCCGTCGTGCTAGCATCGTGGGCGACGTTGTTTTCTACTGGCGCCTCAACTTCCGGAGCGTTCTGTAAAATACAAGTCTCTTCGTTATGTGATCGTCACGTATTCATTCATTCATCATTTCTTTTTTTCTTCAAGTCCAAATCCCAGCATGCTGTAACGAGGACAAAGGAAGACGTAATACCGATTCTGCCGAATACCTTTCGTTCATAAAGAAAACAATATCTCTTCCCTTCTTGTGAATCATCAGATTTAAATAAGTATCACAAATGAATCATCACGAGATGATTATGTTGCGGTTCAAGTAGGAGATTGCAAATAGCCTGAGATTATTTAGGAATAGAGCTCAAAATTGAATTTTTTGTCACCTCAAAATGAGATAACTTTGACCTAGTCGGGATAATTTTGGCTCAAATTAAAAAAAATGCTATTTTAAAAAAATATATAGTATATATACGTTCAAAATCAAAACATAAGATGTCTTAAAACGTCTTATATCTCAATTTTTATATGCATGCCGTTTGGATATCAAAATTTGGGCCGAAGTTACTCTACTTTACAGCATATAAATAAGTAAGAAAATGTACAGTAACTTACAATAGAAACGGTATTTTCTAGATAAATGGTTACACTAACATACTAACACTAAAAATATTTTTGATATAAACGTATTAAACGCGTTAAAGCGTATTTCTAAATTTAGTCTGTGTTTTAGTGCGCCTGGACAATCGCGATGACTATTACCTCCTCGCTTGAAACGCAGCATACGACGACAAAATGCCTCAGCAGAATCGTTTCGTCATGCTTCGGGCAGCGCAAAGAATTGAAAATCCCGCTGGCGAACCCTCAGATAAGAAAACTCGGCATGCGCAAGTACAAGATGCTTACGATACAACAGATGCAAATACGAGAACAGCACGACAGTAAGTATTGAGCTCTTCTAATGAGCACGTCTATCAAAAATATCTAAAACGCCAGCTACCACGCGCGTATCATTAGACCAACTGCTTTTACGTCTATCAATGAGATTCACGCTAGAGGCACCTATAATTTATTTGAGCGTCTATGTTATTATTAGTATAAGAGAGCGTTCGATATGAAAAGATTCAAAATCTACGGAAATGACATCGACTGACGCAGCAGCGCGAATGATCTGCTATTCGCCGCGCCATAAAAAGTACTCTACTGCAACGTATTGATTTTAATCATATGAAAGGTTCGTGTTAATATTATCAAGAAAACCAAGAGGCAAACAACACAGGTGGCAATAGGTAGTCATGGTAATATACATATGGACTTTTAAAACGGAGAGTTGAGCGGAAGCGTCGGAGGACATCGAGTAGCAGAGTAAGGCTTGTGTTAATCACGTTCGACAGAACGAAGGATGCACACGAAACGAGACCCTCAGGCGTTGAAACACAACGGGGACGCATCGGGATGGAAAATGGATTTAGCGGACTCTCTGAGGACTGACCGGCTCCGGTCGTGCATCGGCACACCCAAACAGCAAAATATAATTTTGTTCTCGAGACGAGAATTATTCAAGGTCTCCCCCGGACGTAACTGTCAGTCTCCTGTCACTCGATGTTACCCTTCGTCGAGAGAACGGAGCGGAAAGATGAGGTTGTGCGCTGGATATGAAAAAAGAGATGAGGGAATAAAAAGGTTATTGGAGTTCAAAGTATGTGTTCGATAATTTTTGAACAGAGAGCATTGGAGGGATTTTGGAAAGAGAGTGGAGATCGGGAGAGCCGATATTTTCATTTTCAGGCTATAAGACCACAGAGACAGTACTGTGCGAACCGTACGACGAAGATATACGTGGAACGAGGCGCCCGCCAAAGAATTTTGGCCGGCTGCATTCATGCCAGGAGGTTGTGTTGCATATTAGTCACCTGGTGATGCTCCTTGGCGGCAGTCGACGGGATGGAGTTCGACAACTGACACGACAAGGCCTCTTCCTGGCTTTCGGTCTTCGCTACGCACTCGGTCGCCAGTCTCTCCTTCAACTCAATGTTCGATTGATCACATGACATCGTCAGCGGTTCGCTCAGCAACATCGATTGTTCACGATTGCTGCTGTCGTCTTCGTCATATGAGAGAATTTGTGAGCGATCTTTCGTGGCGGTTTCGGTCGCGATGCCGGGTGTGACATTGGACTGTTGGAAGTTAGGACTTAAGGGCGGCGTGAGAAGTGTCTCTGTCGGGTCTCTTGGGTTGGCTGCGTGCTCGACGGGAGCTGGTGGTAACTCAGCTACGGATATGTTCGCGGGAGGGATCAATAATAATGGACAAGAGAGTTCTTCCGGTGGTAAAGGATAATCGAAGGAATCTAAGCTCTGCGTCCCCGTGTCTTCAGGCGCCGGGGGTAGATCTTCCAAAGAGATAGGTACGCTTTCGGATTCGGACGAGAGAGCTAGCGTCTGAGGTTCACTCAAGTGCTTTTCTGAGAGGGAACACGTCGGAGCGTCTGACGGTATTGATTCTATATCATCTAAGGGACAGAATTCTGGCGATGTTACGCGATCCTTTGATGAAAGAAGACACCTTTTGATCTCCTCGGTTTGCTCAAGTTGCAAGGGGGATGTCGTAAACGGTTCTGCCTCAACGACTGACGTAGATATCGCGGTAGGTTCTTTTCTGCTAACAATTGGTTCTGTTTCAATTGTACTTGTATTTTGGAGCTCGAATGTTTGAGGACTAAATGCGGTTAAATCTTCAGGCGGACATGGTAGCATATCTTCAATTTCACTGACTGCTTCCATTTCATTTTTCATATCAGACGTGACAAATTCAGTTAATAGCTCAACTGTCGCGTTTTCCGGAACGAACATATCCTCCAATTCTTCCGAAATCAAGGTTTCTTCCGTAGGCAACGCAGCGTCCGATTCAAGCTCGATCTCTAGTTTCTCTTCGTCAGTTTCGGGAATCACCTTGACGGATTCAGTGGTGTCGGTAAGCTCTTCTACGCTGTCATCTTCTGGAATGATCAACGCAGGCCTGGCTTCTACCAAAATATCCTCTGAAACTGACAGCGGACCCTCTTCGGAATTTATAAATAATTCAATCGGCGAAGTTGTCAATGGGACTTCTTCTTCTTCCTTGATTTCTTTCAGCTTTGCATAATCGTGTTCGTATTCAATCGGTATTCCGCTCGATTGTTCCACAACTTCTACCACTGACGACGACTGTTCCAATTTCTTTGACGAGCTTTCGATCGACTTCGCGAAGGGTGTAGAACTAACTTCCGATAATTTCTCTGTGTCAACAGGCACACATTTTTCAATTGAAGGAAGATCTGAGTCTGGCAATTTCTCAATTGATTTTATGTGCTGCGTTTCATCTGGAGGATTTCCTATATTTTCAAACGATAAATATTGCTTTACCGCCGGACAAGCGTCTTTTGTTTCAATCTCAGTCGACGATAACGTTTCAGCCTCAACTTTATGTTCGACGTTAGACGGTACATTTATCTTCATCGGAACTTCACAGTTATTTATCTCGCTCTTTGTTTGACACTCCACGACCGGTGAAGCCTCATTCACAATTTTAGCCATCGCAACAATATCAGGAACTTCCTCTGCAGTTTTGCTCTGTATATTTTTATCACGTTCCATCGCAAGTGACGGAGTTTCCTTCACCGAATTTGCCTCACTTTTCTGGCACTTAAATACTTTCTCCTTCATCGCGATGTCGCTATCTACTTCTAGCACCTCTTCCTTATTATCACGACTACTCCCTAACGTCTTCCCTATTTTTTTCGCAACATCTTGAGACGTCTCGACTTCGATCTCGGCCTCTACCACCGGCAGGCACTCTACTTCCGCGAGGACAAAGGTCGCTTCCGTCGGGGGCAAGTTGTCGGTAGAGGAATCGAGTGATGTGGGGGACGCGACAGCGGTGGTTGTGGATTCATTTGCGCGGCTCTCTTGGGGAAGAATATCCTCGCGAGACGATGGGTACGCGACGTCGAGCGGTGGTGCCGGTGATGCCGGCGGTGTCGATTCCTCCTTACCGGCAGCCACGGCAGGCAGCTTGAGCGCCTCGGCCAGGGCTGTAGCGTTCGCTGCGGCCTGCCGAGCCTGCTGCAAAGGTGATGGATCTATGGGGGTCGGCGGTGGACTGGATGGGGGCAGGGACGGGAGGTCCTCACTGGCTTTCCTCTCAATGATAGACGGCGTCGCGACTGGCTGGACTCGGTAGACGGGGATCTCTACCGGGTCCGCTACGGAGTGACCGCCGGCTGACTGACTGACCTCGACTACTTTTTTCTCGGCCTCGACTTTTTCGATCGCCTCCTCTTTCTTATCCTCGACGGACGGGACGGGAGTGGGGGCGGAGGGAGTGGGTTCCTTTTTCTTTTCCTCGACCGGACTAGCAGCTACGGCGGCTGCTGTTGGCGACGCTGCGGCAGCTTCTTCCTTCGGCTCGGCCGTGGCTCCTGCTGTCGGTGCGATTACCTGCTCGTCCGCTGAGGGACTGCTTGCCGCTGATTTCTCCTCCGGACTGCTCGTGGCGGCCGTTGCATTCTCTGCTTCTTCGCCACCCTGAGACAATCGAGAGAACACACCACTTTAGACATTTCGTACGGCGCACCACACTCGCCTACCGCAGATATAAAAACTCTACATTTTAAGATATTAATTTATTTTATCTCACAGTTTCATAAAAATATCGATTGCAATATTTCGTTACATTTACATCATAGAAACACATAAAGTGCACCGTTTGCACGAATACTCTTATAAACAGATAATTTAATTACACACAGATAATTTTTAGCACACCTCGTTTATATGAATTAATAATAAAATGTAGAAATATAATTTCGAGTAGAGAAATATTTATTATTCAACTATTTTTAGCAGACGATCGGCTCTAAATGAAAGGTGAGCTATGCCACGTGGATGAAGTGCGATGGAGAAAAATGTTGGTTCATTCGAGCACGATATTATTTTTTTGTTCGTTGCGAGGGGTGGTCGCCGACGACTACAGCGCGCGTTCTCTCGTGCCAAGGGTGAGCTCCGAGCGACTCAAATGAAAACGAGGGTGAACACTGAACAGCTTAATGATACATGTGGAACGAAAGAGAGAGAAAGAGAACGAGCGATGTGTAAAGAGGCGTACGTACCCCTGGTACATACGAGGGAGGTAAAAAGAGGGTGCACGGTGGGGCGCCGAGTTACCAACGTTCTCACCCTTCAGGAACCGTATCAATCGTGTCACTGTGTCAATGAGTGTTTCTTTCTTTTCCTATAATCTTTTTTTAAGACAAAACGATCACAATTCTTTCTGTCAACAGCTCACGAAATAACGGGGGAGATTTATCACTAAATTTACTGTTCTACAAACAGCGATTATTGCGTGAAGAACGACGCTAGGCGTTATACTCTTAGATATCAGAGGAGCTATTATAGTAACCCAATCTCTCGAGTTAAATAATAAATTTTGTTATTTTTTACTGCCATATGTGTCAAAATGTAAATCAATTCATTTCTATGGTTAGTTTCAAGATCCAGACTACCGTATGCATTTAGCATACAGTATATAGCATGGAATTTGAAACAAATAAAAGAACTACATCTGAGTCAAATTTAACACATTCTTTTTAGTTAAATTGTTAAACTCTATTTTTAAATTGAGGACATGTCGAATAAAAGTAAAATTACGACCTACAGAAATGATGAAAAACGACTCAAATTGGGTATAATTTGACATGAATTTAACACAGTGTGCTAATGAAAGATGAGAGACGAACTCGATGTATGACGCGGCAAGGGTCGTATCGTTTATACGCATAATTCTGTTATCGGCTCAGTAACGTAATATGTAGAGATAAAACTGAAGAAGTGCGCAGTGGAACAAAAGTATGGGCACGTTCTGTCGACACACGCCGACGCTCAGAAATTCCTAGGATGTTTTGTCACGTTCCTACATATGAGATATATTTATTGCTACTGCAAACTACTCCATCTACGATCTACAGCGTGTATTGTGTGAGTTTGATTCTTGATCTTTAAATTGTTCGCTAAATGTGAAAACTATTTCTCGCACGCAAAGATCTAAGATAATGTGTAAATATATATTTAAACGCCTAATAAATATTTATACGTATATATTAAAATAAATTTATAATAAAAATAATTCCATGCAAGGCTTAATATACGTGAGAATTTTATTTTTGTTGACTTGTATGACTATTTTGTTCGACGGCTTGTTTGTTTGACTGTCATCATTAGTCTTCGCTTGGCGTGTGCCGATAAACACTCTCGATACCTTTCGGTTTGCGCAACTTAAGACAGCGAGAACAGCCGAGACAAAATCAATTCTTGAAATCCGAGAGGGAAACAGAAACCGGACGTGAGAAATGCGTCGTGCGCTTTATTGTCCCGCGTTCCGTATCGATCGTCGGCGTCGAGTCTCCCGTCGTAGATTTTCCTAAAGGATATATAAGCCTCTCCCGCTTAAAGAATTACAACGGAGTGGCACTTAAGCGGCATTTGCTGCAACTTTTATGTTGGTTGTACCCGGGAATCACCATTTTACTCTTCTTGTAAAGGAAACTCCTCCTGTAAGGAATCGTAAGAGGATATTTCCGGTACATAATATAAAGAGATGTAACTTGACGTTCTCCTTCAATCCTCTGTTAATATAATGTCTTCACATTTTATTTACGTTTGAGGATCAGCTATTTCATCTTCGGATAAACTGTGTGGAAATTTATCTATTGGATAAACAAAAGAGTAAAAGAGTAACAGCATAAGAAAGTAAGAGAGTAAGACAGTGAGTTTCATTGAAAAGTGAAACAATCCAGCCTAAAACAAGTAAATAAATGTCCAGCAGTTAGAAGTTTATTTTTCGTCCCAATTCTACAATAAATTTCAACCCGGTGGCAACAGCGTTTTATTTTTTGTCGAGAATATTTTGCGTTTATAAAAGTGATGACAGACGACCTGAAAATCCGCTCCAATTTCCTGAACCGAGAGACCTGCTCCAAATTCCAGTCGAAACTTTCCACTCAGAATTCTTCCACTTCTGTCTGGGTCCGCTGATATTTAAACACAACGTGTCACCGTCGAGGTGAAAGCGACCGTAAATAGATGCTCACACCACAAGAATTTGGCCTAATATCAAAACGTAAAAATGCACGACAGAACTGGCGAATTGCCAGGATCGAGGGGCATTGTCCGCAGAGGCAAGGAGGCAAGTGCCGACGTAATGAACTTCCGGCAGCCTGGCGTCCTCTTACGACAAAATCGATTGAGAAATTGTGGACCCGCTTCCCTATATACACAATACCGAATTGCTGTTGGCCGACGACCAATTCTGACTAGGTTAACAGCGACTATGTATTGCGACGTTCCAAAAAAAATTGCATACCAATCGCCGATCTCTCTGCAGCAAAAAGAACACTCGATTCTTTCCTAGCAAAGAAATTGAAAATTCACGATCTACATTCCTGCAATTCCTTTTTCACTCTTTTACTTGGTAAATACCAAGGAAAATTAAATTATTAGATAAATACATTGTAGATATGTATTGTAATGTTGATAGATTTTATTAAAGAATAAATCTGTTTAGCAAAAACTTAACGCACTGACAATGTACTTTATTAAATAATAACTTCGTGAAATGTAATTTTCCATTTAAGGAACACTGCTAGGAAAAGCATTTCGTATTCAGAATATTCAATGAATAAAGAATGCATTCATTGTGTGAGCAAATAGAAAAAGCATAATACTTTCCCGATAATACTTTGGTTGATTCTGTATTGAGTGACGTTATTACAAGTGTATTTCAATAGAGAGAGCGTAGTCTGCGATGTTTTCAACAATTTGAAAGCCAGCCAAAGGAATCAAGTTACTCACGTACTCCGGGTATTTATCTTTTAATGTTGTTAAATGATGCAGTAATATGCACCAATTTGCAACAATTTTACCGGAAAATGTACCGTTTATGGCTGCTCCATTAATATTACGCCGGTTAAAGGCGTTTCCGACAGCTGAAAGTAAGTTAATTTTACGCTAACGGGCGGCGGCTAAATTTTTAATCGTCCCGTAAAATACCGACGGTCGCGAATGAGAATATACCTCACACAGTAAACTACGGAGATGAAATCAGACTCGGAGAGTCGACAAAGTGCCATAACTTTTATATCCTCACGAGCACGTAGAGCATTAGAAATGCATTAGTTTTGCGGGCACCTATCTCAGGAACGACCGTCGTAACCGACGATGCGATCCTTCACACCAAATGTTCGCAAATCCTCGTCCTTTGATTTTTTGATGAAAACTTGGTAGATTTATAGAGCAAAAGCCAATCACTCTAAATCAGAAACTAGCTTACCGTCGTTCTATAAATACACTTCATATATATTAAAAAAAATCATTTCTTAATTTTTAAATCGCAATTAATAAAATATAATTTTCATATTTAATTTTACATTTAATTTTTTTACATATTAGAAACTTAAAAAATATTCAACAAAAAATATTTCAACAAAATTGAAGGGGATGAATTTAGGGAATTCCTTGTCAGAAACGTTAACGTAATAACGTGTCGTGTTCATCCGACCGTGTGAATTATCCTACGTGCCATCGCGCCCATGACAGCTGGTATTCGCCAGCACCAAAATCAATTTCCTGTTTGGGAAAAAACTTAGCTAGAGCAGAGCGACTCGCTAAAATAATGGTATTATATAACAACTGTCATCTCATTCCGACATTCATATAGTAATATTCTCCAGCGAATTATTATATAAGAGACCAGATTTTTCAAAGTGTTAATGCCATAAGTGTTTAATGCCATGAAAATAATATCGTTCTCTTACTTCAAAAGTAATACAATTCAAAAAATTAAGTTTCTCAGAAAAGGAAAAAACTATTTTTCAACTTGAGAGAAAATTATTGACTAAAGAATATATTCTTATGATAATTTTTTTTAAATCACCAATTTTTGATTCTTGACGTTTTGACGATTTTTTATGAGTTTAAGTTATTTTAATTTTGATGATTGATCGAATAATATTTATCCAACTCATTTATGGTAATAACTCGAAAAAATATTTTTGAATTGTGTCACTTTTGAAATAAGAAAGCCATATTATAATTCATTCAAACGTTTGCTTCTAAGCTTTTATAAACGAGCTTCTGAACTCACAACGATAAATTGCATGTACAATTTTGAATTTTATATCCCTTGGAACGGGATTTGATGGCCGCAGGACGAAAACGAAGCAGGCAACTGCTAGGCCATCGATGTTCCGGAAGTAATCTTGCGTATTTAACAAGCGTGACTTAGACAATAGCTACGCTAATGATTCACAGGTGTTTCGCGGAGACTCATATCGACGTGTTCCGCGAATGACATGTTCATCGGATATGCTCTGTATGCGGGCAAAATCGTGCATTGTCATCGTCTCTCTTAATACGCTGTGGAGAAGCGATAATGTATACCGCGCCTGGAAGACGTCGAGCTTCGCGATATATGCGAGCAACAAACTAACGTTTGTTTTAACTTCGCTATTCTTTCACGGATATAAATTACG